ATTACATTTTTAATTATTCCCACAAAACAAAATTACCCCCCAAAAAGTGATTTTTCCGAAGTCAGATTGCAGCCATTTTTCAAGTGGCAACCCTCAACTTTCTCGGGCACTTAAAACCATTTTTCAACCGTAGTTTTTAGTGCTTCTGCCCTAATATGAAAGCTCAAAGACCCAGGGAGTTGATCCTGGCAACAATTTACACAATCCCACCATTTTTGGGGCCAAACAATCTCCTTTTTCAAAAGATACTGTGGGGGGCACTTTTAATGCTCATGAGCTGGTCAAAAATTCTCACTTGAATTAGTGGTCTGCGCCCTTTATATACAACCAGTTTTCAGTTTTTTGCACCAAACAACACTGAATGGTTGAGAATACATCAAAAACCTCAATTCCAGAGAAAAAATGAGAAAAAAAATTGTCTAATGGCTGTATATGGAGAGAAAATGCTCAAGGTCAGCCTATAGCAAATGTGCACAAACTACTGCAGACTGCCTATGTGTACACTAACTAGTGCAAATACAATGTGCAGTAAGCAGCTGAAAATTGTACTTTTCACGTGAGCAGCTTCAACTACCTGTTCCTACTGATAATGGGGAGGGTTACCCAGGCTAGACACTGCCAACTGTAGAGACCAAGTGCACGAAAGACATAAAACTTTGGCCTGCTTTGACATGAAAGCTCACCGTAGATATTACTCCGGTTGACAGGCTCCAGCCCAAGAGTTGAAAACGTGAGCCCAAAATAGGGCACTTCAAACACAAGAGTGGAACAAATCACCAAGGAGAGTGTCTCGATAAATTTAAGTCACCTGTGCATATCCACGGCTTGGTCAGTCGGTGCCCAGGCTGTACTTGACCGTCTAAAATTGAACCAGACCCCCCACAGTTAGGGTTGGCCTCTGTTAGGGTTAGCCTTCATTAGGGTTGGCATCCGCTAGGGTTACGCTCTGTTAGGGTTGGAATCCAGCTTTTCTAGGTTTCATTCAGTCCATCCTAATCAAAGAATTTCTTGAATTCGACAAACAAACAATTACAAAGTGACATATATAATTCTCTTGCGATTACCTGGATATTTATTGTGTCCGACAATCCAGTATTCCTGATGTCTCATAATCCATAAAACTGTTATTCATGGCTTCTTGTGGTCTCTCCACCACTGCCAGGACCAACGTAAACAAGAGGGATGAATTTTAAACCCAGCCGCCACTACTGCCTGGATGCCGCCATTTTGAAATATAGGGTTCAGTCCACAAATTCAAGCCCCATTGAAAACAGTGTAAAATCAGCACTGTTTAGGGCCCAATAGCATGCACGCCAACATCCCTGAGATTTCTGAAACACAAATGAATTTCTTGTCTGGTG